AACGTAATTCACCACATAAACAGAACCAAAGACAAAAACCACATGATTATCTCAATTGACGCAGAGAAGGCATTTGACAAAATTCAACAGCCCTTTATGTTAAAAATCCTCAATAAACTCGGTATTGATGGAACGTATCTCAAAGTAATAAAAGCTATTTACGACAAACCAACAGCCAATATCATACTGAATGGGCAAAAACTGGAAGCACTCCCTTTGAAATCTGGTACTAGACAAGGATGCCCTCTTTCACCACTCCTATTCAATATAGTACTGGAAGTTCTAGCCAGAGCAATCGGGCAAGAAAAAGAAATAAAGGGCATTCAAATAGGAAAGGTGGAAGCCAAATTGTCTCTATTTGCAGACGACATAATAGTATACCTAGAAGACCCATTGCCTCAGCCCAAAAACTCCTGAAACTGATAAGCAACTTCAGCAAAGTCTCAGGATATAAAATCAATGTGCAAAAATCACAAGCATTCCTCTACACCAATAACAGACTTAAAGAAAGCCAAATCAAGAACAAACTGCCATTCACAATTGCTACAAAAAGAATAAAATACCTAGGAATACAACTTACAAGGAACGTAAGGGACCTCTTCAAAGAAAACTACAAACCACTGCTCAACAAAATAAGAGAGGACACAAACAGATGGAGAAACATTCCATGTTCATGGTTAGGAAGAATTAATATTGTGAAAATGGCTATACTGCCCAAAGTAATTTACAGAATCAATGCTATCCCCATCAAGCTACCATTGACTTTCTTCACAGACCTGGAAAAAACCACCATGATCTTCATATGGAACCAAAAGAGAGCCCGCATAGCCAAGTCAATTCTAAGCAAAAAGAACACAGCGGGGGGCATCACACTACTGGACTTCAAACTATACTACAAGGCTACAGTAATCAAAACAGCATGGTACTGGTACCAAAACAGAGATATAGACCAATGGAATAGAACAGAGGCATCGGAGGCAACACAACATATCTACAACCATACAATCTTTGATAAACCTGACAAAAACAAGCAATGGGGAAAGGATTCCCTGTTTAATAAATGATGTTGGGAAAACTGGCTAGCCATGTGCAGAAAGCAGAAACTGGACCCCTTCCTGACACCTTACACTAAAATTAACTCCAGATGGATTAAAGACTTAAACATAAGACCTGGCACCATAAAAACCCTAGAAGAAAATCTAGGCAAAACCATTCAGGACATAGGAGCAGGCAAGGACTTCATGAACAAAACACCAAAAGCATTGGCAACAAAAGCCAAAATAGACAAATGGGACCTAATCGAACTCCACAGTTTCTGCACGGCAAAAGAAACAGTCGCTAGAGTGAATCGGCAACCAACAGAATGGGAAAAAATTTTTGCAGTTTACCCATCTGACAAAGGGCTGATATCCAGAATTTACAAAGAACTAAAACAGATTTACAGGAAAAAAACAAACAAGCCCATTCAAAAGTGGGCAAAGGATATGAACAGACACTTTACAAAAGAAGACATATATGAGGCCAACAATCATATGAAAAAATGCTCATCATCACTGGTCATTAGAGAGATGCAAATCAAAACCACATTGAGATACCATCTCACGCCAGTTAGAATGGTGATCATTAAAAAATCTGGAGACAACAGATGCTGGAGAGGATGTGGAGAAAAAGGAACACTTTTACACTGTTGGTGGGAGTGTAAATTAGTTCAACCATTGTGGAAGACAGTGTGGCGATTCCTCAAGGCCTTAGAAATAGAAATTCCATTTGACCCAGCAATCCTATTACTGGGTATATATCCAAAGGACTATAAATTGTTCTACTATAAGGACACATGTACACGAATGTTCATTGCAGCACTGTTTACAATAGCAAAGACCTGGAACCAACCCAAATGCCCATCGATGATAGACTGGACAGGGAAAATGTGGCACATATACACCATGGAATATTATGCAGCAATCAAAAACGATGAGTTCATGTCCTTTGTAGGGACATGGATGAATCTGGAGAACATCATTCTCAGCAAACTGACACAAGAACAGAAAATGAAATACCGCATATTCTCACTCATAGGTGGGTGATGAACAATGAGAACACATGGACACAGGGAAGGGAGTACTACACACTGGGGTCTATTGGGGGGAATAGGGGAGGGACAGCGTGGGGGCGGGGAGCTGGGGAGGGATAGCCTGGGGAGAAATGCCAAATGTGGGTGAAGGGGAGGAAGGCAGCAAAACACACTGCCATGTGTGTACCTATGCAACTATCTTGCATGTTCTGCCCATGTACCCCAAAACCTAAAATGCAATTTAAAAAAATACAAAAAAAATTAGCTGGGCATGGTGGTGCGCACCTGTAGTCTCAGCTGCTCAGGAGGCTGAGGCAGGAGAATCACTTGAACCCGGGAAGCGGAAGTTGAGGTGAGCTGAGATCGTGCCATTGCACTCCAGTCTGGGTAACAACAGCAAAAACTCCATCTCAAAAAAAAAAAAAAAAGAAAATTAATGCAAAAGGAAATGTGGGGTTAGAGAGCCACCACCCACTCGGCAACCACCACACTCTCTGGTGAACATCTGAAGAGGAGCAGGATAATTACACAGTCTCAAAGCATCTCCTTATAACAATCCTCATGAATTACAAAGAGACACATCATTACTTTCCAGTGGAGAAACTTGGCAGACACCTCCTTAACCAAGCAATCAGTTACATCAGCAGTAACAGGAGGAGCCAGCGGGCTGTGCTCCAGATAGGATGCACTGAGAAGGACACGACATCACTTCCACAGTACTCCTGCCTGTACAGGCTGAATTGTGTCCCCCCCAAAATTAATATGCTAAAGCCCTAACCCCCTGCCCCCGTCCCTCAGAATGTGACTGTATTTGGAGCTAGAGCTTTTAAAGATGTGATTTAAGATTGAGGCCCTTAAGTGGCCCTAATCCCATCTGAGTGTGTCCTTAGAAGGAGAGGAAATTTGCTTTCCTTTTTAAGACGGAGCCTCACTCTCTCTGTCAGGCTGGAGTGCAATCATACCGTCTCTGTTCACTGCAACCTCCGCCTCCCAGGTTCCAATGTTTCTCCCACCTCAGCCTCCCAAGTAGCTGGGATGAGAGGTATGTGCCACCACGCCCAGCTAATTTTTGTATTTTTAGTAGAGACCAGGTTTCACCATGTTGGCCAGGCTGGTCTCAAACTCCTGACCTCAAGTGATCCACCCACCTCAGCCTCCCAAAGTGTTGGGATTACAGGAGTGAGTCACTGCGCCCAGCAAAGGAAGAGGAAATTTGAACATTCAAAGAGGCACCAAGGATGCACCAGCACAGAGGAAAGACCACGTGAGAACTTAGTGAGAAGACGGTCATCTGCAGGCCAAGGAGAGAGGCCTCCGGAGCAACCAGACCTGCCGCCATTTTTACCTAGAACATCCAGGCTCTGGAACCGTGAGAAAATCAGTCTGTTAGGTAAGCCCCTCAGTCTGCATTATTACAGCAGCCGAACTAAGACACTGAATCTAATGCAATCAGGAGGGAACACCAGACAAACCCAAACTGAGGGACATTCTGCAAAGTCATCAGGCTGTACTCAAAAATGTCAAGGGTATGAAAGACGCAAGAAGACAGAAGGGCGGTCCCAGATCGGAGGAGGCCAAGAGGCACACGAGCGAGACTCTGATACTGCCTTGGATCCTGCAGACTCGCAAAACCGCTGTATTCCTTTGCCATGAAAGGCACGGTTAGGACAGGTGGTGGATGTTGAATAATTGATAGAGCAGGAGCACTGCCGTGTGGGACAAACACCGCCACATCAAATTCCAGCTCCCTGTCTAGCCTCCTGCATTTCAAGGAAATCACTTCTCTTCTAACTACAAGCACCCAGAAAGAGCAGACAAGAAAAAACAGATAAGACAGCTCGGGCACAGAGGGAGGTGGGGGAAAGTCTCTTCAGGAACTGCCAAACTTCACCCTCATACAACGGGCCCCAGGAAAACAGTGGACCTTAATAAGCACATTCCTGGCCGGGCGCAGTGACTCATGCCTGTAACGCCAGCACTTTGAGAGGCCAAGGAGGGTGGATCACTTGAGGTCAGGAGTTCGAGACCAGCCTGGCCAACATGGTGAAATCCTGTCTCTACTAAAATTACAAAACAATTAGCTGAGCATGGTGGCACGAACCTGTAATCCCAGCTACTTGGGAGGCTGAGGCAGGAGAACTGCTTGTACTTCGTAGGTGGAGGTTGCAGTGAGCCGAGATCGCACCACTGCACTCCAGCCTGGGCCACAGAGGAAGACTCCATCTCAAAAAAAAAAGCACATTCCTTTCCCTTCAGCTGCACTAAGATACAGAAGCCAAAAAGCAGACTCAGGGAATATGCCTGCAGCTGCAGAAAGGTGTATGTGAACAGACACAACCCTCCCTCCCAGTTACCCACAGCAGACACGGGAGCGGTCCAAGCCTCTGCTAAATTCTCCCACCCTGAATCCTTAAAAACGCTTAGTCTGTACCACAGTGGGGCTCTGACCTAACTCAGCCAGCCGGCCCTCTCAGGTTGATTCAAAATAAATCTGTCCCTGTTGACTGTCGAGCGCCCTTTCATGTTCCTGTCCTCTTTCTTTACTTCTTACAGTAATGTCTGCAGATTAGATCGTTGTGTTTATACCAATGTTGGTTTCCTGAGTTTGATCATTTGACTGTGGGGGTAATTTGCGTTTTTAGGAAATATATACTGAAGTCATTAGAGGTAAAGGGGAATCCATCATTTCTGCAACAACTCTCAAATAGTATGGAAGTGTGTGTGTGTGTGTGTGTGTCTGCACGCATGCACAGAGAGGGGGAGCTACAGCAAATGTAAAAAGTGTACATCTGAGGAATCTGGGAGGAGGCTATATGGAAATTCTGCACATCTGAAACGATTTCAAAATTAGAAGTTTAAAACTTCCATATTGTCCCTCAGGAAAAATCTAATCCACTCCTCCGCCTGCCTCTTTTCCCTCCCCTCCTAGTCCTTCTCTCGCCAGCACCCCCGGCCTGCCTGGAGTCCCTGTCCTGGACCTCCCCGGCCTGCCTGGAGTCCCTGTCCTGGACCTCCCCGGCCTGCCTGGAGTCCCTGTCCTGGACCTTCCCGGCCTGCCTGGAGTCCCTGTCCTGGACCTTCAAAATTATGAGAACGTATGGACACAGGGGGGGAGCACTACACACTGGAGTCTATTGGGAAGAATAGGGGAGGGACAGCGGGGTGTCCAGGCAGGGGAATAGGGGAGGACAGGGACTCCAGGCAGGTCGGGGGAGCTGGGGAGGGATAGCATGGGAAGAAATGCCAGATGTGGGTGAAGGGGAGGAAGGCAGCAAATCACACTGCCATGTGTGTACCTATGCAACTATCTTGCATGTTCTGCACATGTACCCCAAAACCTAAAATGCAATTAAAAAAAAGTTTAAAACTTCCATATTGTCCCTCAGGAAAAATCCAATTCACTCCTCCCCCTACTTGGCACCTCCCCCTCCCCTCCTAGTCCTTCCCCCGCCAGCACCCCCGACCTGCCTGGAGTCCCTGTCCTGGACCTTCGTGTGACCTGCTTCCTCCCTCCTCCAGTCCTGCTCGCCCCAGATCCCCACCGCACCAGCCCTGTCCTCCCCACCTCTGCTCAGGACCCCATTTCTCCAAAAATCCTTCCATGTCCCCCACCCTCAATGCTGTGTTGAGTGCCTCTTCCCACTGTGCTCCCAGAGAGACCCCCATCCCGCCCCACCAAGCTTTCCCAGCATTTCTCTAATCACAATAGAAGTGAATTAGCACCAAGCATTAAATCATGACCGCATCTGGTGCCCATGCCTTGTCTCTTTGTGTCTTCCTGTCCATCCTGCGGGCAAGGAAAGCATTATCACCCCCAATTTACAAACAGGAAACCTGAGGCTCAGAACAGACAATGCATCTGAGTCACAGCTAAGAAAGCGGTTTGGGGCTTTGTTTTTAAAAACAACTTTTATTTTAGGTTCAGCGGTACTTATGCAGGTTCATTATACAGGTAAACGCACATCAAGAGGGATTGTTGTACAGATTATTTCATTGCCCAGATACTAAGCCTAGCACCCAATAGTTATTTTATTATTTCTGCCCCTCTTCCTCCTCTTACCCTCCACCCTCCGATAGGCCCCAGTATGTGCTGTTCCTTTCCATGTGTCATGCGTTCTCATCATTTAGCCCCCACTTACAAGTGAGAACATGCGGTATTGGTTTCTCTTCCTGCATTAGTTTGCTAAGGATAATAGCCTCCAGCTCCATCCATGTTCCTGCAAGAGACATCATCTCATTCCTTTTTATGGCTGCATAGTATTCCATGGTGTATAGGTACCACATCTTTATCCAGTCTACCATTGATGGGCATTTCAGTTGATTCCACGTCTTGGCTATTGTGAATCGTGCTGCACTGAACATATGCACACATGTGTCTTTATGTTAGAACAATTTCTATTCCTTTGGATATAGACCCAGTAATGCGATTGCTGGGTGACATGGTAGTTCTGTTTTCAGCTCTTTGAGGAATCACCACACCGCCTCCCACAATGTTTGAACCAATTTACGATCCCACCAGCAGCAGGTACGCATTCCTTTTTCTCTACAACCTCACCAGACCCGGGCTCTTAGCTACCAAGGTGCTTGCTCTCCCCTCCCAGCTGCTGCTAGTTATGATAGCCACATTTCCTAATGTTTGCTGAGTGCAAACACTGCTGGGCCCCAAGCTAATAACTCGCAGGAATTAGTGGTGACCTGGGGCTGGTGGTAGTCCCTCCCGCAGGGGATGTTCAGGAAGCATGTAAGGAGCTAAACAGCAATGCCCGGCTCTGTGATCATGGCAGATCGCAGGCCATTCTTGTTGTTTCCAGGTACTTTTATGTCTTAGAACTGTTCTAGATTTACAGAACCACTGAGATGATAGTACAGAGAGTTCCCATATACCCCAGGTCCAGGCTGGGCGCGGTGGCTCATGCCTGTAATCCCAGCATTTTGAGATCACACCAGGCTGGAGTGCAGTGGTGTGATCTCGGCTCACTGCAACCTCCAGCACCCAGTTTCAAGGATTCTCCTGCCTCAGCCTCCTTAGTAGCTGGGATTCCAGGTGTGCGCCACCATGCCCGTCTAATTTTTGTATTTCTAGTAGAGTATTTGTTTACTTCATAACTGATCTTACACAAGCACATTTATTACAATGAATGAACAAACCAATGAGGACACATTATTATTAACTAAAGTCCACTTCCTTTGCTTTCGCTGCCTTTTCCTGCTCCGTGACCCCATCCAGATGCCACATTACATTTCGTTGTTTGGTTTTTTTTAAGACAGAGTTTGCTCTGTCACCCAGGCTGGAGTGCAGAGGCGTGATTTCAGCTCACTGCAGTCTCCGCCTGCTGGGTTCAAGCCTCAGCCTCCTGAGTAGCTGGGACTACAGGCATGCGCCACCATGCCTGGTTAATTTTTTGTATTTTTAGTAAAGATGTGGTTTCACCATGCTGGCCAGGCTGGTCTCGAACTCCTGACCTCGTGATCCACCTGCCTTGGCCTCCCAAAGTGCTGGGATTATAGGCGGGAGCCACCACGCGTGGCCTGTTCTTGCTATTTTTTATTAGTAATAGTCATCGTCGTACTTACCGGCTAAATCCTCGGGAAAGCCCTGGGAGATGCTAGTGGTCTGTTTACTCACCTGCAGCCCCCATTCTGCTACCAGCTGTGAGGGCTGTGTCTTGTGTCCTTGCTCTACCGCCCCCAAGGCCCTGCCCGAGAAGCCGTGACTGCACTGACCAGGCCTGGAGCCCCCAGCGGTGCCTGCCGAGGCCTCAAGGCAGGAGGGAGGTCCTGCAGAGTCACACCATCCCTGTCCTTCCCACCTCCTCCCACCTCTGCTCAGAACCCCATTCCTCCAAAGTACTTCCCTGTTGGGGCAGGGAGGGAATGTGGAAAGGCTGGGGTGGGAGGGAGATAGTGGAGGGTCTGCAGGGCCACCTCCCACCCCTGATCCCTCCCCACAGCCCACCTGGAGCCTCAGTTTCCCAGAAAGCTCCCTCCTCCCTTCCAAAGCCACAGCTGAGGGACAGAAACCCAGGGTGAGAGGCCACATGCATTCCTGCCTTCCTCTGCCTTTGGAGCAGGAGTTTCACCACAGTCCCTGGTGGCCAAGTGGGCGCTCCCCCAGGTGGGCGCTCCAGGTGGGCGCCCTTTGCCCTTAGGGGCACCCACTTGCCACCTCCTCCATATAAGACCTGGGTCCTGCTCTAGTGGTGGTGGAGTAGGGGTGTTGCAGATGTCTGTGGTGTCTCATGGCAGGAGGAGCCTCAGCCAAGACACAGCTAGGACTGTGGGATCAAGGGAATGCAGCTGCTGGTGTTCCCCAGGCCAGGCCAGACTCTCCGCTTCAAGGTGGTGGGTGAGTGGTGGGTGAATGCTGGGAGAGTCCCAGCCCCCGCCTCCCTGTCCACGGGCTGCTGCCAGGAGGGAGCTGGGACCCTTCCCCTGGAAAAGGAGCAAGAACAGAGGTCTCCCTCTAGCCTGGGGGTGGCCAGCCCCCAATCCCCTTACCACAGAAAATGGCAAGGAAGAGAATCGTCACCCAGGAAAGCTCCCACGTTAGTGTGCATGGGAATTACCTGGTTGCCTTGTAGAAATTTGGATTGTGATTCAATCAGCATGGGACAGGGCCAAGACTGCGTTTTTTTGTTTTTTTTGAGATGGAGTCACTTCTTTCACTGCAACCTCCGCCGCCCAATTCAAGCAATTCTCCTGCGTAAGCCTCTTTAGTAGCTGGGGTTACAGGCGTGCATCACCATGCCTGGCTACTTTTTGTATTTTTAGTAGAAACGGGGTTTCCCAATATTGGCCAGGCTGGTCTCGAACTCCTGACCTCATGTGATCCACCTGCCTCGGCCTCCCAAAGTGCCAGGATTATAGACATGAGCCACTGAGCCTGGCCTAGACTCTGCACTTCTAACCACACTCAGTCCATACCGTGGCTGAGGGTCCATAAACCACTTTCAGCAGCAGGACCCTAGTGGGTGTGGCCCGGTATGGGTTTGGAATCGGGGTTCGGATGTGCAACTTCTAAACGGTGTGATCTTGGACAATTAACCTGACCTCTCTGAGCCTCTGCTTCCTTTTCTGCAAGATGAGGAAGACGAACTGGGCTGTGTTCATGGAACAGAGGCATGGGGGCATGCCCACACTCAGAGAGTGCCCAGGCTGTTCTGGGCCAGCAAGGGGAATGAACACCTAGGAGGTGTCTCTGAGTGACTGCAGCAGCCAGTTAACCTGACAAATGGGCTCAGGTCTTTCTACAAAGCCCATGATTCGAAACCTCATTCTGCCACCCATTGTGTGCACCTGAGAAAGCTCACGCACCCTCCCTCCCCCAGCTGCCTCCGCCACAGGATGTGAATAAGCTTAAGAAAAGCGATGTGAGGCCGGGCGGTGGCTCACGCCTGTAATCCTGGCACTTTGGGAGGCTGAGGCGGGTGGATCATGAGATCAAGACCATGCTGGCCAACATGATAAAACCCCATGTCTACTAAAAATACAAAAATTAGTCAGGTATGGTGACAGGGGCCTGTAATCCCAGCTATTCATGAGGCTGAGGCAGGAGAATCACTTGAACCTGGGAGGCTGAGGCAGGAGAATCGCTTGGGAGGCAGAGGTTGCAGTGAGCCAACATTGCACCACTGTACTGCAGCCTGGCAACAGAGCGAGACTCCATCAAAAAAAAAAAGGCAATGTAAATAGCCCAGTGCCTGACCCTGAGACCTTGTGTATCCCTTCTCCATCTCATCTTTATGGCTGCCTGCTGCTGTGTACTATAAGCAGGGAACCCTAGCTAGAAAGATCCTAGGACCACCCCCCATCTCCTTACAGCTATGAAAGCTGAGAGCAGAGAGGGGAGGGCTTGCCGGAGACCACACAACAAACTAATAGCAAAGCTAAGGCAAGAACCAGGTCTCCTGCCTGCTGAGTGGGAACTCCTTCCGAGACCCCAGCAGCCTCTCCCTGTACCCTTCAGCATAGCTGGGAACTCCTTCCGAGACCCCAGTAGCCTCTTCCTGTACCCTTCAGCATAGCTGGCCCCTCCTCTTCCCCACGGCAGATGAATTTGGGAACTGATTTGATGTGAACAACTGCCCCATCTGCTACCAGTGGGTCACCTCCAGGCCTCAGGAGCCTGCAGTCTTCTCGGCTGATTACAGAGGCTGCCACGTGCTGGAGAAGGTAGGGTTCTTCATGCTCTGGCACAGGAGCAAGCTTGTCATAGTATCGTGTCAGGCTGCAGAAGGCCCCTCATGGGCCAGACAGGAACCAGAGCCCAAGATCTGTTGAGTTGGTGGGTGAGGGAAACTAAGTCCTGGAAGGGACTTTCTGGGGTCCACCATGAATCCAGCTGTCTGCCTAATGGCCATCTTAGCTCTCGGGGGGCCATTCTCTGCCTGGGATGCTAGGTGGCCTCACCTTGTTGCTCTCTGGCCTCTCACCTGCAGGATGGGCGTTTCCACCTGAGGGTATTCATGGAGGCTGTGCTGCCCAATGGTCCTGTGGATGTAGCACAAGATGCTACTCTGATCTGTCCCAAACCTGTCCACCCTAGACTCTGGACTCCCAGCTGGCACCACCCGCCATGTTCTCTGTCTTGACCCCACAAACCCTTCCCTTCTGCCCCACCTCTGGCCACACCTCCGCAGGCTCTGGCCATGCCTTTCCCAGCCCACTGGACCCAGGGCACAGCTCCGCCCACTCAACCCCTGCTTTACCATTCCCTGGACCTGGACCTGCCCTAGAAACCCTGGCTCAACCTCACTGGGGCCCCATGGAATGCTGGGATGTGAACAAATCAGATTATGTAGGTATGCAGCACATCTGAATGTTCGTACCCTCCGTCTGGGGCCCTCTGGAGTCCAGCGTGGCCGAACAGCCTTTTACTGGGCTCTAAGAAGCCATTTCTTTCTTTTTTCTTTTTTTAGAAAACCATGATTCTTTGTAGTATTTGGAAAAACAGCTTTAAACATGTACAAGTATACTAAAGCTAGAAGAGATCTCGCTAATTTATTTCTGCCTAAACTCACTAAAACCATTGCCAGGAACACCCGGTTCTCAGAAAACATTCTCTTGAGATTTCAGTAATATGCACTTTTCAGGGAGAACACTTAGTGTGCTGGTTAAGAACACAAACTCTGGGCCAGGTGCAGTGACTCATGCCTATAATCCCAGTACGTTGGGAGGCCCAGGCAGGTGGACCCAGAGTCAGGAGTTTGAGACCAGCCTGGCCAACATGGCGAAACCCCGTCTCCACTAAAAAGACAAAAAATTAGCCAGGCATGGTGGCAGATGCCTGTAATCCCAGCTACTTGGGAGGCTGAGGCAGGAGAATGGCTTGAACCCAGGAGGTAGAGGTTACATGAGCCAACATTGTGCCACTGCATTCCAGCCTGGGCAACAACAGTGAAACTCCAAAAAAAAAGAGAAAAAGGCACAAACTCTGCACAGGTTCCCAGGATTCAATTCCAGGGCCACGATTTGCAAACTGTGTGCCTTCAGCCTCATCGCTCTGTCCCAACCCTAGGTACCCACCTGAGGCAGGAGCAGTGCCAGGTGGCCTCGGGGCACCTCCCCTGCCTCATGAGAGGAACTTCAAAGGAAGCCTGTAAGCAGGCTGGCTGCTGCTATGACAACACCACAGAGGTTCCCTGTTACTATGGCAACACAGGTACAACCTCCCACACCAGCACCATCCTGGTCCCCGGGATTCTGAAGCAGGACAGCCACCTCCTCCAGCTGGTGGAAGCTGCTTCCCATCCTCCTCCTGGAGAGCCCAACTCCCAGAGCAGATGGCAGAGGAGACCTTTAGATGAGGCAATCATATGTCCCAGCTGGCCTTATAACAACTGTCCCGGGGAACTATTAATAGATCTACCTTTACACACATCTACCTGTACTTTCAGATCGAAAACACCCTGGTTTGGATGACAGATTCTATGGTGAGGCTACTTTTGGAGTATAGTTCAACCCATTTGTCTCATGGATGAGAGAGTCAGACTGTAAAGGGTTTGCTGGGGCCAGCACCGGCCTAAGTGGAGAGTAAGCATCTAGACTCCCAGGCCAGCACTTAAAGCCTGGCTCTCACACAGCCATCCCGTCTCTGCACTGGGTGAACACCAAATCCCAAGGCCCTCATCTGCCTTTGTCCCAGCTACTGTCCAGTGCTTCAGAGATGGCTACTTCATCCTCATGGCGTCACAAGAAATAGCCTTGACACACAGGATCACACTGGCCAATGTCTGCCTGGCCTACACCCCCCACCAGTTGCTCCCCAACACAGGACAGATGCTTTCGTGGTCTTCCAGTTCCCTGTCACCCACTGTGGAACCACAGTGCAGGTAGGGGTTGGGACCACAGGCTGGGGCCTGGTCCCCCAAGAAGGCCTCACCCAGATGTCTCTTCCCACAGGTGGCTGGCGACCAGCTCGTCTATGGGAACTGGCCGGTGGCCAGCATTCACATCTGAAAGGGGCCACAGGGTTCCATCACGTGGGACAGCACCTTCCAGTGAGGGCGGCCCTCCTCCAACAGGCGTGGCTGGGGGCTGGGGTGTCAGGGCACAGGAGAGCTCAGAACAGTTTTTGGAGCCATCTGGGTCCAAACCCAGGTTCTGCTGTTACCTGGTTATGTGACCTTAGGCAACAGGCCCACCTCTTCCCAGCCTCTCCTGTGGGGCAGGGGAAATGTCCTTTCTCAGGGCAGATGTGTTAAGTGGGGACTTTCCATGCCTGGCCTGCAGGGCTCAGCTAGAAGCCCATGGCCAGTCCTGAGAGAGCGGGAGTTCTGAGACAGCCCTGTCTTGGTCTCTCCAAGAACTAAGCTCAGAGCAACTGAAAGCATCCCCTTCCAGGTCCCAGGAAGAGGCTGAGGTTATGCCTGTTGCCCCTCCTAATGTTAGGTTAAGAAGCCACAGATGAAGCTGAAGATACATTGGGCTGAAGCTGTCTGAGGATGTGGTGGAAGAGGAACTGGGCGGGGGAGGAACCCCTCATTGTTAGGGGCCTCCTGGACCTGCCAATTCAAGAGGCAAAAACCAAGCCAGGTGCTCAGGATGCCCGTGAGGGTGACCTGAGGGAATGTGTCTGTCATACCTGGCTCTGAACCTGTGTGGCCAGGTGCAAAGCACCTACCCTTAGCCAGTTCACCTTGTGGGACACAGCCAGTGCATTAGCCGTGACTTGGAGAAACCCTATGCTTGTTGCTGCGTGGATGCCCAGGCATCTCCTTCGCCCTTCCCTCCCTGCCATGAGGGTTGGGGAGCAGGGAACTGCATCACAGTTCAAATGTATTTGGCTTTAAAGCTCTAAGTACCACAGAGGTGGTAGCTCACGCCTATAATCCCAGCACTTTGGGAGACCTAGGTGGGAAAATTACCAGAAGTTCAAGACCAGACTGGGCAATGCAGTGAGATCCCATCTCTATTTTTATTTTTTTTTAATGTTTAATTTAAAAAAAAGCCTAAGTTCTTACAGCCAAGTGGCGGGGGACAAGTCTGGGTCGAGCCCTAGACTCTCTGATATAAAAGCTATGGGAGTCAGCCAGAGGCCAACACAGTGACTAGGGATTCCTGGAGGGAGGCACAGGTCGGGGAAAACAGCTGTAGCCAGCAGGACTAGGCCAGAGGGCTCCTCAGAAACAAGGCCTTCAGAACAGGGGCAAGCCACTTATACTTGCTTAGCATCTCCTTGGTGCCAGGCCTCTGGGGTACTGAGAGGTTGTGGGTCCCAGCAGAGTGTGGAAGAGCAGCCCCCAGGCCCTTAGGCTGGTGAGAAAGATGCTAGGCACTGTGGCCCTTAGGCTGTGGCAGAGCAGCGGCAACTACAAGGACAACGAAGAGACGGGGCAATGAAGATGACATTATCTTTGATCTCATTGTCTCAGAGCCCTCAGAGGGAGGCAGTCATGGCCATTTTACAAATAAGGACCCTGAGTTTTAGGTGAAAAAGCCTTGCTTGTGGTCTCAAAGCCTGTAAATGTTAAGAAGATTCAAACCCAGGTCTGTCAGGAGGTGGAGTGCCTACGCCCACTTGCAGGCTCGACTGTCAGGCTCCAGGAGCCTTGAATGGCACAGCAGGCAGCTGTGGGTAGCCAGGGCAGACCCAACAAGGTGCCAGCCCCCCAAGGACCCATCTCCATCCTGCCGTATTCTCCCACCAGGTGCAGGGCCTGGCATAACAGGCTTGAACCAGCCCAGGGAGACAGGATGGGGCAGGTTGAGCTTCCTGAGCCCGCCTTGAAAATGCTGAGTGCTGCTTACGCAGCATCCATCTGCCTTGCTGGACAGTACCGTTTGTTGCATCCAGAGTTGATACCTAGTTTCTAACATGAACAGGATGCTCTGATTCTGTGTCTTCTCCCCCACCCTCGTGCACTTCAGGCTTCATGTGTGCTGTGTCTTCAACGCCAGTGACTTCCTGCCCGTTCAGGCATCCATCTTCCCAACCCCGATGCCTGGCCCTGTGACCCAGCCTGGCCCCGTGACCCAGCCTGGCCCCTGCGGCTTGAGCTACGGATCACCCAGGGTATGCTATGCTATCCCTGCGCTCTTCAGGCCCCTGCTTCTCTGACGCACAGCCCACCCTGGCTCATGAGTCGCTCTCCCTGCAGATGAGACCTTCAGCTCCTACTACGGGGAGGATGACTATCCCATTGTGAGGCTGCTCCAAGAACCAGTCCAAATGGAGGTCCAGCTTCTGCAGAGGACAGACCCCAAGCTGGTCCTGCTGCTGCACCAGTGCTGGGGTGCTCCCAGTGCCAACCCCTTCCAGCAGCCCCAGTGGCCCATCCTGTCAGATGGGTTAGTGCCCCCAGGCTCCCCCCACATGCTCTGCCTCCTATAAACAGCCCCTCTGACTTCTCTTTTCACATGCCCTTTTGAGGGTGACAGCTACAGAACCCAAATGGAAGCCTTGGACAGGGCCACACCTTTCCAGTCTCACTACCAGCGATTCACTGTTGCCACCTTTGCCCTCCTGGACTCGGGCTCCCAGAGAGCCCTCTGAGGACCGGTAAGAAGCCCCGGCTGCCGCATGCCTGGCCCCATGTTAGGTGGGGAGGAGCTAGTCACCGAACCCCTCTGGCATCTTGTGAGCTTATATGGACAAAGTTCCGGGGATGGGGCTTGACTTCTACCAGGTGTCATGGAAAGCAGCTGGCTTTGCATCAGCAACAGGTAACCCATAAATGCCAGCAGGAGGAAGGAAAAATGCTGCCTGAGCTGCAATCAGCCCAAAATCTGAACTCTGGCCGTGGCGTTCTAGGGGAGCCTCGCCTCACTTCTGATTCTAGAAATGATAATGTCTTCCACGTAATTCTGCTTTGAATTTTCTTTAACTCAGCAACTTCTCCAGAAGGTAAAAGTAGATAAACTTTAGGTATACTTAGGTTTTCTACATAATACGCAGATGGCCCCAGAGGCAACAGATGCCCTGTAACTCCTGTCTTGTTCAACGACCTTTCACATCGCATACACCAATCTCTGGATGCTAAATCACTGTCTGTTATTTTATGTCACATGTAGACTGATTTCACTAGTAAGCACTGATTAGTTAGGGTGGCTTTGTTCTCATCTCTGCTGAGTGCTGCCTCCTGATCCAAGAGATGCTGACCTGCCTGGATGAGGGGCACCCCTGGGTGAGGCCTCCTGGGTGCTGGGTCGGGTCAGCTCCTCCTGCTTCTACTCCCATAGGGCACTGCCCCTGCCCTGGTGTATCTGGAAGCAGTGGTAATCCGCCCTCCCCTCTTCCCCCAGTCACTGGTCTCCAGGGGTCACAAAGGGAGGGCAAACATCTATTCTCCTGCTGCCTGGTCAAGCCCCACCCCCTCGGAACTTGCTGTCTCCCTCAGTAGGGCAGGTGGAAGGGAGCAATCCAGCTGCCTCCCGCGAAGGGCTGGGGTTCTACAAAGTGCAGTGGCCCCATCTGCAGGGCACGCCACTGCAGAATTGGACCTTGGGGAGGAAGGAAGGTGTGGATTTCGAATCGGGTACACATTCAGCTCCACACTCCCTCAGCATGGGCGGCAGTCATAGTATTGGTCTGCATGCTCAGATTTCCCCCTGCCTGGCCAGCAGCCAGGGGCCCAGCTAGGGAATCCCATGTCCCTGCCTCTGTCCTTCCTGCGCGGTGGCGCTGAGCCAGCCACTCTGATGTTCTTCTCCTTCCACCAGGTTTGCTTCTTCTGCAGCGCCTCTGCCTGCCACAGCTCAGGGCTGAAGACTTGCTCCACCGCGTGCCGCCCTGGGACGGCAAGTGAGTCTGGGGTGAGAGTGGATTTGTTATTTCATTAATCTTCGGGCCTATGTTTGGCTTGGAGGTCACAGGGGCCAGAGACCAGCCCAAGACTTCATTCTTCCCCTGGGCGGGACAGCAACAATCCTCAGGTAATGACACTGCCAGGCCCCAGGACATGCTGAGCTCTCCGGGGACCAGTGGGCTTTGAGGATTCTTATGGGCAGAAGCCCACAGGTATGAGGGCTTCTGGGTGGGCCCCTCAGGCCTTACCAGCTCCCGCACCCCCAAGACTGTGCTGACAAAATGGGATGCTCCAGCCATCGCTGAGGGCAAGAGACGGTGTAGCTGCAGTCAGTGGGGAACTAAGTGAAGACACAGTCCGCCTTACCTGCAGAAAGGCAGCTTTAGCTCTGCCCAGTGTGATACAAAGGTCTGGGGTGGAGGAGCGTGTTGGAGGGGCCTCACCCAGCCTTACCTTTCCCTTCTCTCTGACAGATTTCAATGGGAACTCTAGCCTGAGGCCTCTCCTTTGGGTGGTCCTTTCACTGCCAGCGGTTTCCCTGGTCCTTGGGTTTGGTGTCTTTGTGGGCCTGAGCCAGAAGCTCTGGGAAACAACAGTGAACAGGCTCAATAAATAATCCTTTCAAACCTACTGAAAGCAGTTGTGGAGAAGTTATTCGTGACAACTAGAACAGAACTACTTCGCATGTGAGAAACTTCCTCCAAGTCCGCCCTGTCCTTCCAGAACTGTGATGTCAATTACAAATACTTCATATGTGCCACACCCTGCAGAGGCCAATGTCCCCCAAGGCTCAATCAGGAGACTCAGCCTCTCTGCAAGGAATGGTGGCATTTCAGGCAGAGCAAATAGGACAAAGATACTGGAGGGTAAGACCTTGGCAGTCAGAACAGCAAAAGCTGGGAACTGGGCCCCTGGCAGGAATGAATGGCTTGTGAAGTCTTGTCACCTCCCCACAGACACAGGAGTTCTGATGAGGGCACACTCAAAGCACTCTGAGCAGTTGTGCAGGGCGGATAAGCAGAGCTCTAAGGCTGAGTTGAAGGAGCACTCTGCAGACCCCCTGAGCTGCCAGCCTACTGCAAAAGGCTGCATTTATCACCACAGCCTCCTATCCCCTCCCCTGGCCTCCCAAGACTAGTCCATGCAGGAAGGGTTGGCACCCAAGGAATGGGAGCCTGCTGGCCCTGACCTGCCTGCCACTGTGGGCATGGCCACCAGACAGGTCCGTGCCGGTGCTAGCTATGCTGCTGAGCCCGGTTTTCCCACATGTGGCATGGGCCTTCATCTCTGACTTGGCAGCAAAGCCCTTTCCAGACAGACATGTGGATCTTCTGGTGGAGGGATGGGCAAGGCACTAGGATTCAGCCTCAAGGGGACAGGGAGAAGTATCTGGTAGGGAAGCCTGAACTTGCTTTCAGACACCTTTCTGGGCCTCAGAGCATGAGCTTAGAGAGCTGTTAGAAGGGGAGCAAAGGTGCTTCAGTCAGGCCCGTGGCCTCCATACTTCGTGTACCCCCTACTCACCTGGCTCTGGGCTACTCAGCCTTTCCTGTCTTCAGAATACTGGCCAAGCATGTGGACTCCAGAGCTGGCTTCTTACTAGCTGTGTGGTATTCAGTGAGTTACTGAACTTCCCTGGGCCTCAGATTTCTCATCTGTAAAATGAGGTTAAAGTCTATTCCCATAGACATTGGATAAAATGAGTTAACAGATAAGAATGCTTAGAATAGTACATAACAGCCAACAGTAACTGGGTGCTATTAACTACTAACTAGAACTTCATTTCCTCTTGCCCAAGCCTAATGCTTACCTCGTTTTTGTTGTCAATGTTTGGTTTGGTTTTGTATGCACAAGTCTATATGCCAATGTGAAGAGGGGCTCGAGGACACTGCCGTCTTTGGCTTTTCTAGCTAGAGGGAGAACATAAGAGGGGTAAGGCTCAAACACTTGCCATGGAAACTAAGTGGCTTCCCCTCTCTGGGCCTGTCTTCCCATCTATGGCCAGCAATGGCCAGTCTTGCCCTGCCCAGCTTCCTGGCTTGTACAGGGGGACATAGGATATATTCTGCAGTGTCAGTGTGACATATGTGAGGATTCTTAGCTTGGCTGGTTGGAGGAGCCAAGCTGACTTGCTCTTACTGGCCTGGGTTCTGGTTCCTTCCAGCATCATCTCTTCCTCCTTCCCCTCCCTCCATCATACAAACTCATGTAAGGATTTCAAACTTCCAGAGGTACCAATTGAAATAACACTGTGTAACTGAATTTTCTCTTTAACAAAAGGGTAGGTGTCCTGTGTCAGTTCCTATCATTTCAGATTGATGTCTTCTCTAAACTGTGGTTGAACTATGACGTTTGATCTGTTGATGGGGACCATGTGGGTTAAGGATGACAAGCATTGAACACAATTAAGTACATAGTTCTTTGTGTATTTTCTCGAAAGACAGTCTTAGCACTGCTGGGTCAAGACCACACCTCTTAAGACTGTAGGGCTCTAGGGCTGTCCGAGTGTCTCCCCACGCAGCCCCGCCATGCAGCCTTGCCACCACAGGCCAGTAACACGCTAAATCTTTACCTATCTGAGCAGTGTAAGGCAAATGGCATGACTGTTTCGAAGGGGCTCTTTGATTGGAAGCCAAGCATCTTTCTAGCCACTTGTGTTTTATCTATTCTCCACTCTCTCATCTGTAAAAAGCTTTCACAAATCAAGGGGTCAGCATCCTCATTTTACAAATTTGCCATCTAATTGGCTATTGGCTTTTCTCCACGGGGTTCTTTCATCTTTGAAAGCATTATGTAACAATGAATTTTTCCCTCTCATTTGTAACTTTGAGTATGGCAAAGACTTTCCCCTATGCTATAGAATCATCAAAGTGTCCACCTGTTTTGCTGCGATACTCCAGGAATAAGGCAATTGTTGATCCCCTCCTTCCTAGTGTACACAGGTGCATGATTTCGGCAACTGATAAACTGTGCATCTATGCTGTCAACAATTCTATGTCAAAGGAATCTGTTTACTGAAACAAATGTACAAACTGAATGAACAATGAAGTTCATTGCAGCGCTAGGTTTCTCTCTCAGATTGCGAGAGGAAAGCAATCTAAGCTTTGGCTTTCCTAGGTAACTATCAAGTCTATATTTTGCCCAATGTAAAGCTTTTTTTCCTCCCTTTTTCCACCTCCTGATGTGAGCAGGCCCCTGCTGGGCCTTGAGAACAACTCATCAGACCTGATGGGGGCAATAACCACTTTTGCTGACCAGTAACACGCTATATCTTTACCTATCTGAGCAGTGTAAGGCAAATGGCATGACTGTTTCGAAGGGGCTCTTCGAAACAGAGCTGCTCGTGGCCATCAGGTTTTCTCTCTTCCTGTCCTTCTGGGAGGTGAGGAGGGGCAGAGGCTGTGGCTCTATGTAAGAGCTAAGGGAATCCCCTGCCTTTCCATTCTCCGGGCCCCCACCAGCTCCCATATACTTACATTGTACATTGAGAGTAAATTCACTTCGTGGTGCTTGGTTTTTAATAAAGGGGACAGCATACTTCACCACTTGTTCAGCTGAAGTAGAAATCAACTCCTTGTCTGGACACTTATGTGAGAGCATTTCATGGAAAACTACCACTTCTTTTCCAGCTATAGAAACACCAGATATTCTAATCAACCTGAAGTAAACAACTAAACTGCCAGATTATAAATATTTTTAAAATGCTTGGATTACTGTTGAACTAACATGGGCGGCAGGGGGGTCAGGGGGAGGCATGCAAATAGGCCAAAAATAAAAATAAAAAGCAAAAACTCTGGAAAGTTAAACTCAGCTTCTGTTGTGGGAAGTTCCATAGAACCCTGGAGAGCTTGACCTTCTGCTTTGATGAGATCAAGCCCGGAGCCCGCAAAGGTGACAGGTCCACATGCAGGCCTCCTTTAAACTGGAGCTCCGGAGGGCCCAGTCCTCAGTGTAAGAGTGAAGGAGAAATAAGCCCCTGGCACAGAGCCAGCAGCAAGGAATCCTGCCTATTTTTATCTCGGGGCTGGATGTATTGGAAAAAAACAAATCACCCTGAGAATGAAAAGTGTAATTCCCTCTTCTCTGGTGTGTGCAGTAAAATCCTCAGACCGAGGGGAGAGGAGAAAGGAGAACCCCTCGGGTTCAATCTGGGAAAAAACCTCAAGGGCTGAATTTAATTTAAAGTGATCCCAGGTGAGGTGATAATTAAAGTGGTTCCCAGGCTTCAGGAAGAAACAAATGCAGGTCCTGTCTCAAAGAATGTGATTTCAGCCAAAGCCTCAGAGAATTCTGACAGATAAAGGTACAAATACGATGAGCACCTCGCAATAAGAAATCACAAGACACAATAAAAATAGTGAAGAGTCAGGGCACAAAGTGAGAAGATAACTGCAATACATTCTTGACAAAGGATTACTATCCAGAAAACAGCTATGTTTAAAACTGCCGCCAATCAACAAGAAAAAGATAAGACAAGCAGGAAAACAGGCAAAGGACACTAACAGGCATTTCACAAGAGGAAAAACTCAGATGGTCTGCAAGTGGCAGAAAAGATGCTCAACCTCAACAGTAATCATGAATGTGAAAATTAAACTTGGAGATACTATTATATACCCAGCAGGCTGGCAAAAATTAAAAAGCCAGAAAATACTAAGCACTGGTGAGGGTATGAAGACAGGAGCATTCCACCAATGTTAATCAGAATATAAACTGGTATACCTACACTGAAAAACTGCCATTCCCTAATATATGTCCTCTCCTAAACATCCTAGAAAAACGCTTGCACCACAGTGTCCACAGGAACACTCTAATAGCAAAGGAAAACTAGAAAGAACCCACATGTCCATCATGAACACTAGAACCTATAAATACACTGTGGTATATTCCTACAATCAAATTCTACAATGAATGAGAGATAAGAGTTAACCTGTTTTTCCCTTGCAGGCTGGCCTCCCAGGAAAGGAGTTGGCCTGTTACAAGGTGCCATGGAACCTAGCCATTGCTAAGTGCCTAAGACACTGATCAATTACAAGGTTTGGACCCCAGCCCTTTAATCATGTCAGAGGAAGGGCTGATGCTTCTCCAGCCATGAACACAATTAGGTTAAATCTAACTGCTGGCTGACCACATCAAATAATTGAAGCAGCAAAACTTAGACCCTAGAATCCTGATCACAGTGGGAGGAGCTGTGCTTCCTAATCACGTGGCTTAAAAGCCCCATAGCCCAATGCCAGGGTCCCTCTCCCAGAGTGCAACGTCCTAGAATGAATGGTGACACAGGACCGGCACATCCGCAGCTATTCCTACCTTCAACAAATGCTGTCACAGTACCCTGGTGTGAGTTCTGTTTGGCCATTTTCCTTTGTTTTCTCAATAGTGAATGAACCGGGGCTACACATGTAAATACAGGTAAATCTGAAGCACGATGCTGAGAAGATGAAATAAAAGAAACTAGACTGAATGACTTCATCTATATAAAATTCAAAAATCAGTTCCCAAAGCCCCAGTGTAGTAAAATTGTACAGAAAAACAAAGGAATGCTCAGCTCCAATTTCAGGGTAGTGGTTTTCTCTGCAGCGGGAGGGAGGGATGCATTCACTGAAGAACACACCGATGGCCCCTAATGCTTGCTTCAGCTGGCTGGTGGATACAAAGATGTTTATTATTCTTTAAACTGTATGGGTTCATTTTAGACACTCTGGTGTGAATATTTCAGAAAACTTCTAACTTCCTGGCC